CTCCTGCCCCCCAGGCCCCAGCCCTGGCCCCTCTCCTGCCCCCCAGGCCCCAGCCCTGGCCCCTCTCCTGCCCCCCCAGGCCCCAGCCCTGGCCCCTCTCCTGCCCCCCCAGGCCCCAGCCCTGGCCCCTCTCCTGCCCCCCCAGGCCCCAGCCCTGGCCCCTCTCCTGCCCCCCCAGGGCCCAGCCCTGGCCCCTCTCCTGCCCCCCAGGCCCCAGCCCTGGCCCCTCTCCTGCCCCCCAGGCCCCAGCCCTGGCCCCTCTCCTGCCCCCCCAGGCCCCAGCCCTGGCCCCTCTCCTGCCCCCCAGGCCCCACTGCAGGGCTCCAGGGCAGTGGGCATCCTCCCCCCACCTCTCTCTGCAGACAAATGTCTCCAGGAGGCCAGAGCCCTAGGCACACCCTGCACCCTGCCCACCTATCTGCCCACAAGGCAGAGACGGGCCTTGCAGGTGGAGCTCACCCCACCACCACGCCGGCCCGAGCTTTCTTTCCTCCTCCACAACCAGCATCTCCAAATGTATCCTCTAAGGACTCCAGGCAGGTGACAGCTCATTCACTGAAGCCTGCCCTGCGCTGAGCTCTTCCTGTGGGGACGGCTGGCTTGAAGGAGCTGTATTCTCAGCAGAGCCGAGGACGTTTCCCCAGATGGGGAAATGGAGGCACAAGGAGGCCACCACCTGCCCACGGTCACACAGTTGGCTGGCACTCGCAACTAGCATCTGGGTGGATGGGCACAGTGGCATGTGCCTATAAGCCCAGCCACTGTGGAGACTATAGTTCAAGGCCAGCCCAAGTGGAAAGTTAGGTGCCGTTGTGCTGACCTGCAATTCCAGCTGCTGGAAAGGATGGAGGTAGGAGGACTGAGATCTGAGGCCTGACGGCAAAAGTGAGCATAAGACCTGACCCTCAAAAGTTATGACAGCCAATGAGGCTGGAGGCGTGGCTCAAACTGTAGAATACCTACCTAGCAAGGGCAAGGCCCCGAGTTCAAACCCCCAGTACTGCCAAAACATCCAACTAAACAACCAAACAAAACACAGTTCAAAAGCTGGCTTGGTTTGTGCAGAGTAAATAGTGAGAGTAAGGAAGGAGAAAGGAACAAGGGAACAGGGCCGGGTCACTGCCGCAGAGCCGCCCCGCCCTGGGGCTGCACCCCCCAGGAGGTGGGCAGCCCACTCTTCCCCAGGTGCCAAGCGGTTCTGCCAAGGGCAGGGAGAAAGCTGCCTGGCACGTGCAAAGCAGCCGTGGGGCCCGCCTCTGCTGGAGGTGATCTGTCACACAGGGCCCCTCCCCCAGAAGCAGCTGGGGGGGGCACACAGCTGTCCTCGCTCCTGGCTTTTCCCCATCTGCGTTCCCTGTGGACTATTCTTGTCAAACCAAACAAGGTCAAAGTGCACGAGTGGTAAAAACAAAGGTAGTCCTGGAGGGTTCTCATGATGATTATGCATTGTGGCCGACCACACGCCCACCGCTGGCAACTCTAGCTTCTTTATGCCTGTTCACAGTGCATGAGCGCTAACTTTTCGTGGGTGAGAAAACAGAGGCTCCCATAAAGCCCAACTTAGAAATTAGGCCTGGGAGGAAATTAGCGCTAACTAGTGATAAAATAGACCCATTGTAACAATACACTGTAATAAACGTTGGAGAAAATCCATGAACTGTTTCTAGACATTTCCATTTGATTCTGGACTGAGGTTAAAATTTCCCCCCACACCCCGCCCAAAAAAAGAAACCCCATATGTAAGGCTGTGAACCTCTGCTGCTCTAAAGACGCCAGATTAAGCCGGACACCAGTGGCTCACGTCTATAATCCTAGCTACTCAGGAGGCTGAGATCTGAGGATCACAGTTCAAAGCCAGCCCAGGCAGGAAAGTCCGTGAGACTCTTATCTCCAATAAACTACTAGAAAACCGTTCAAGCGGTAGAGCGCTAGCCTGGAGATGAAGAGCGCAGGGACAGTGCCCAGGCCCAGAGTTCAAGCCCCACAACTGACCAAAAAAAAAAAAAAAAAGATGCCAGATTAACTTGGGTCTCCTTCCAACCGGCCTCCCTACTGTCCTGCATCGGCAGACACCGGAGCATCCCTCACACGGACAATCCAGCGGCACCCCACTACAGAATGTACGACTCCACCACCTCCCCTTCCCTCCCCCCACACGGCCCCCTCAGCCTCTGGAGCCCAGCTCTTTCCATCCTCTGGGTCTGCACAGGGAACCCCCCCCC